CCCCATTGCCCTAAGCCTTTGAAGGACGGAGTATTAGCTGGGCCAGAAAGTTCCCTGAAGGGACAAAAAAGACTCAATGCATGAAACAAGAGAAAAACATTATTCTCTTCCTTAATTTATGCACTTTTTTTGAGAAATATTGAATCTGATCTTATTCTATTGTATCAGTGATTTATCAAAACAAAAATTAACCCAGATTCATTAATTAGGGGGTGAAACCTGTTGCTTACATTACTCAGCAACCGCTCTCCTGCAGTAAAAATTTGTGAATAAGCTCCAGAAGGAGAGAGATGACCTCATGAACCTCACTATCTTTAACCATTCCCCAGTTTCTACAGTTTTGATTCCACCTCAAAACTTTTCCTCTGAGGCTTATATAGATCAAACAAAAATGGGATACATTCTGTCTGTCAAAGTTCCAAAAGACCTCTCTAAGTCATGCATGCACAGAAACATCATGTGGGACACAGAATTTGATAATGGTGGAAAATTATTCCTCATAAGGCTACCACAGTTAGATATCCACATCAAACTAAATTTTTTGTTTGTCTTAGCTTAGAAGGCTGATTGCAGTGTGTCTTACTTTTCATTTCTGGACTGTTTGGATCTACTACATCATGTCAATAAACACAAGAGATCATCCCACAAGGATGAGGTACTCACAGAGAAAGGGATGCAGGTGAACACATCTTTCTCTGACACCACATCATCAATCAAGCTCCTGTTCTCCCCTTGATGCTCAAGTGTGGCACTCAGAGTCACAGACTCATTCAGGTGGGTCAGCTGAACACAGACTTTCTCAGGAGAATCCGTGTGTATCACAAAGGGCAGTAGCACCATATACTGCCTAGGAAGAGAGGGAAGCAAGAAAGATCAGAAATGTGAAACAGTTTTAATGGAACAGTATTAAGTGAAAGGAAATTAACAAATCAGCATGTCTAATCCATTACTATCCCTGTGAACTGCAGTGCATATAACATGAGCATTCATTTTATTTTGAGTTTATACATATTAAACGCCCTAACTAATTAGCCTAAAAGCCGGAAAATGCTTGCAGTAGAAGGAACAATTTCTATGCTAATAGAGAGTGCTTTACAAAGGATGTTTTGTTTGGCTTCACAGCAGGGAGCAAGGAAGGTTTGAAACGTTCCAGGCTGTTAATTGAATTTTGTATATCCCACAATCTCCTATTGAGACTCAAAGGCACTAGCTAAAAACAGTTGAAAAACCCCACCCAGTTGTGTGGCTGCTCCAGTCTTTGCCTATCCAGGTTTCCAAATCTTTCACATGCTGAGCAAAGATGTGAGCAGTTTGGGACCTTATTAAGATGAGCACACAAAGGATTTCAGAGTGTAGTGTTTTATTGCAACTCAAGTGTACTTGTGCCTTCAAAGTGCTTTTGACAAAGGTCCCTCACAAAAGACCCTTAAACTCATCTATCATTCAATAAAAGGGATCATTTTACTAATAAATCAGAATTATTAATTCTGACCAGGATTAATTGGTTAAAAGATAGGACAGAAAGGGTAGGAACCAATGAAAATCTCTGGAATTTGTGTTGAAATCCTTGTTCTTCAGTATGCTTCTAAATGATCCGGGAAGTAAAATTTTCTGATAATTGTCCAGGGTAAGAAAATACCTAAAATTGACTTATGTATTTGTGAAAAAGTATTGTTATATGGTAGAACTGAGTAGCAAAAATGGCAAATGAACTGTTCATAAATGGAAAATAATATCACTAAGTGGGCTATTACCACGCAGACTTGAGCACTGTTGATCACTCTTGGAAAATTCCCATTCAGTAATGAGTAACAAAAGGACTGTAGGAAAGTGTTCAGAAAGGAGTAGAGGACAAATACAGCTTTGTCCATCCAGAGCTACATTATTGCCTGGGCTCTGGGCTTTTTGGGAAATCCTAAAGCTACTGTGGAGGCAGTGAAAAACCCCGGCAGTACCTCAATTTCCTTCACCACCAGGCAATAGCATGAAGTGTGGTGAGGAGCCTGGCAGCAACTCTGCTCAGCCCGTGCTGCTTCAGAAGCAATGAAAGGAGGGAACTCCAGCCACCCAAGGAGTGACTTACTACTTGTGACTCTGCATTCTCCAGTATTTCCCTTCTTCCACAGCCTTCTCACCACAGCTTCACCCCATGCCTGCTTCCCCTAATCTCATTTTCCATTTCCCCTGTCAGTGGCACTGGCAATCTGACAATAACATCCAGTCTACCGAAGGGACAGTATGACCTAGTTCATGGGGAATTTGGCCTCATTTCTCTTCCTGTTCACTGTTCTTCTGAAATTTTGGCCAACTTGCAGAACTTCCCCTTAGCTGGTTTCCCTGCCTTTGAAACAAAGATATAAAATATGCTGTTTATAGACCTCTCTTTAGGTGTTTTGGGATGTGTTGGTGAAAAGAGCTAGATTAATTAAAGTACTATGAGGGCTTTAAGTAACTTGGGTCACAAAATCCACGTGTAGACATTCCAGACAAAAAAGCTGCCTAAAGAGACCTCAGCATCTTCCCTGCATGCAACAAGTTGTTCTGATAAGAGAGGCAGTGGCTCTGACAGAAGCATGCATCAAAGGAGGAATAGGAGACCCTAGGGAGAGTGGGTGAGGCAAAAATGATGAGTTTGTCTATACAGAGAAGGTAATACTGTAGCTTAAGGTGGAATCATGTCTGTCTGTGTATTGACCCTCAGCTACTTACTAGAACAAGCACCTAACCAAAGAAGGCAGTGAATTTCATCAGCTCCATCAGCCCAAATCCATACTTGCCAATTCAAGTGTCATTATGACCTCGCAATTCCGACCATATGCATTGTAAGTGCATTGTACAGTGCATTGTAAAACAGCTTACAGAACAGGAGAACAATACCTTCTGTTGCATTCTTCCAGAACAACACAGAGAAAGAAAAGCAGTGGAAGAAAAAGAAGCAAAAGAAAAGATATCTTGCTCAGTATCTTACAGAACAACAAAAGTTTTGTTTGCAAAGGACCTCTGGATGTCTCGAGACCAACTTCTCTCCTGGAACAGCACTGTTGCAAAGGACTCCATAGATGGAGTTTCTACCATCTCTGTTCCAGTGCTGCACTAACTCTGTGAATGAGTTTTTTTCTAATATGTAGCCTGAACCTTAATTGCGTCTCCCGTGCAGCCAGCTGCATCTGAAATAGCAACTGCTGCTGCCCAAAGAAGTGATATCACTACTTGCACAGGGCACAGTAAGCAAGTCTTATCTGGAAGTTTAATTTTTGTCTTCAGTTCAAGGGTGGCTTCCTGTCTGTGTTGTACCCAGCACCTGATCTACCCTGCAGCAACTTAAAACCACTTATACTAACTAGCAATTCATAGCTCAGACTCCACTGCCTCCCTGCTGGGCTCCTATCTTCCTTCTGGGGAACACAACAACACTCCTGTCTCTCCCACCTCATCTTTTCCTCCTTCTTCCCTCCCAAAATGGGGCTCAGATCCGGGACAAAGAGCAACCTACAAGAAGGATGGAGAGAGACTATTTACAAGGGCACATGGTGACAGGACAAGGGAGAATGGCTTCAAACTTAAAGACAGTAGGTTTAGATTAGATATTAGGAAAAAATTCTTTACTGTGAGGGTGGTGAGGCACTGACACACGTTTCTCAGAGAAGCTGTGGGTGCTCCATCCCTGAAGTGTTGAAGGTCAGGTTGAATGGAGCTCCGAGCAACCTGGTCTAGCGAAAGGTGTCCCTGTCCATGTCAGGGACCAGATGATCTTTAAGGTCCCTTTCAACCCAGGCCAGGTTCTATGATTCTGTGTTGCCCAAAGGTCCGAACAGGATGGTTTTATTCCCTTTCCCCCTGATGCTGAGCAAGGATGAATTAAGATTACTTAATTACTTAGTTACATCAGATTTCTGTAGGGAGACCAGAGACCTCTGCCTGACCCCAAGGCAGACTTGGCTGGCTGATCTATCCCGGGGCCATCCATACAGGGTAGATGAATGAAGAGTTGACAGTACACTATGATTTAAAAGTCCTAGAGGCTGCGCCAGTCATCACTTCACCTCTGACCACACAGTGGGTGGTAGCAGTAATGCTGCACCTTCTGCCATACCTGTTAGCACTATGGCAGTGCTTCTGGGCATGAAATCTCTGCAGCAAGCATTACAAGACCTGTGTGTGAGAGCTGCACTTCTGTCAGCACAGCAAGAGGAACAGTGTGTGACAGCAGCTGGGGTCTGAAGAGGGAGACTGCTCCCACCCAGATTAGAGACTTGAGAGCAACACTCTTTGCTAGGGGAGGCTGGGGTGGGCATGCCAGACTCCAGTCAGCGTGTGCCACCCCAGGCTGCCCCTCTCCTTGGGGCCATCAGCAGAGTGTGTGCTGTTGGTCTGCAAAGCCCTGGTCCGGATGTCCAATGGATGGTGCTGGCACCAGACTCTGCCAGAGGAAGCGAATCTAGGTCACAGATCCTCTTTGAGAACGAGTACATCTGATGCTGCCAAGGGAAACAAACTGGCAGGAGAAAGGGGAACAAACCAGCTTGAAAGCAACAGGAGAATGAGGAGAAGTAACTCAGTGACTGAAACAAGGATACTCTAGGAAGGGAAAGTGTCTGAATTCTGTCATCATACCCAAAACCCCCAGGCCCTGAGAGGTTCTTAGGCAGAAACATACTTAGGCAAAGATGTTGTGAGGATCCAGGTCTGGACTATCAGGCAGCTGCAGGGCAGGACTGTGGGCGCTGACAGAGATTGGGGAGAGAGGGGGGAAGGGCTGGAAGGGGGGCACTGGCAGAGATGGCAGTGGGGAGGGGTCCAGGGCTGGAAAACCAGGGGGTTACAGAGTGGGAATGGGGAGCACTGCAAGAGCTGTGCAGGACACACAGGGCTTGGTTATTAGTGGGATTCAGGGCAGGAATGGAAGAACTGGCAAACAGGAAGGAAGAAAACTTAAGGAAAAGGGGAGCACTAAGACCTCCCTCCCCCCTCCGCCTGTGCAGCTTACGGTTCTGCGTTGGGAGAGGCATTTCCAGGAAGGAAGAAGAGAAGAAGGAGGAAGATGTTTGGTTTGCTGGGCAGCTTGTTCTTCCCCATAGTGCAGAGCAGGTCGTGGTGAGTGAAGCAGACACCCAGTCTGGTCCAGTGCTGCTGTTTTCCTGCACCTTGTAATTCTCCTCCACTCTCTGCTCAGTCAGCCTCTTTATAACTGCTCTCTGCAAACAGCCCAGGGGCTGGAGGAGATAAAGGCTTGGGGCCAGGGCCCATCCGGAAACAGGGAGAGGCAGTAAGGAGGAGCTGGAACAGAGGCACAGTATTTGGCCAGAGACTCTGCAAGTGGGGGAAGGGTATTTATTTGGATAATGCTTATATTATAAATCTTTGAATGATTTGTCCCCTGTTTTCCCTAGACCATCAGAAATCTGCAGTGCTGGGGACACAAACTATATTCAACATAAGGTAATATTCTCTGTGAGCATCATCGATTCACAGCACTCTGATGTAGGGTACTCTGATCTTTTAAGCCAAAAGCCAGATTTATAGGTATTTTAAGAACAAAAGAAAACCCATGGACAGAAACACTGCTCATAACGTTAACAGAATACTGCCATAATTTGCTGACAAAGTTGCTCTAGGTTAGATAATTAATTTGTCAGCAATATAACCCAAAATGTGGTGGGCCGCTGCTCTAGATATGGAAATATGTTTTGTTTCCACTGTGAATATGTACAAATATTACACAATGATGTTGGGAGACATCCTTGCCTCCCTAGAATGGTGATCATATTCCATCATTCAGTGTTACCTGGAGTGCAAATGTTCCAGGTGGCTCCTCCTTCCCATTGCCAGTTCAGATCTGTGCTGCTCTGAGTCATGTTTGTAACAGATGTTGCTCAGAATAGTGCTGCTCACTTGACTTGGTCTTCTGCAAACCTCTGGTTGTAGGAGCTTATCTAGAAGCTGAATCTAGTGAGAAAAAAAGTTAGGTAAATTCCAGCAGATCATTAAACAAAAATATTCAGTCCAAACTATGAGCACTTCCTGACCAGCCTAACTAGGTGGGGTGTTTGCATCAGTCCATGGAAAACTGTTAAAATTGCAACCATAGTGCTATCAGCATGCCTTCCAGTGCTGTGCAGTGAAAGGATTCAGTAACACTCTTTATGGAGATTCATGATCTCTGTGAAGATTTCTGTTGTGTACAACTAACCCAGCAGAGAAAACGCTGCAGCACAAACCACCTTGAATGTGCCTTTGTGAAACCATGTTAATAGCAGAGGTTCTCTGTTCTGCACAAGAGAGCTTATTAGACCACAACAGCACAGGCAGCCCTATTTGCTCTCTGTCTGAAGATCAAGCTTTGAAAAAGAGTGAATGTTAAGACTAAATGTTAGCTATAGCAGCATGTCTTGACTCTGACATACTAGCCAGAAAAATGCAGGGAAGAGCACTGCAGAGGACCAGGAGAAATGTCTGTAGATAAAAGGAAATTTAAGGATGGTGTTCAAAAATCAGGCTCAGACTCTTGTAGAATTAAATTTATCACCTTTTGTAAACTGCAAAAGTTAGGAAAACAGTCAGGAGGCAGCCAATGTCTGCTTGTGGGAAGTGTTACAAATATATGTCATATGGAGAAGGAATGAACACATACTCACTCAAACCAGAAGATTTAGCAGACTATCAGTTAGAGATGGAAATACTGATAAAAAGACGGGGTTGTGTAACTGCCAAGTAATAAAACCCAAACAAATCTTTTTCCAGAAATGCCCCTGTCATTTGTCCTCTCCCATCTTTTACTTTAATAAATAAATTGTGCAAAATAGTGGCTTTCAAAGAAATAGGGTCCTGGGCATTTGCTGGAAAACATGACTCATGCCAAATTGTCTGTTGTCATTTAGACTGCTGAAAACTGAAACCAAAACCCAATCTGAATGGACATATGCAAAGTACACTTTAAAGATGATATATAATAATTCAAAATTCATAGATTTACAGAACCATCGATCCCCGTGATTCAAGGTGATATTTGCTATCATCTTCTTCCATGAATTTACCATTCACAAGGTATAAACCACCTGCTTCTCAGTTCTCCAAGAACCACTTACCAGCTCTCTGATACCCTAATTCCCACTTTGCTCCACAAACACTAACGACCCTATTAGCTCAGGCAGTTGCTGCTTCAGCTGACTCCTCTCTAACAGAGCTCAGAACAAGTGGTCTGAACTTGTACTTAGCTTGAAAGCTTTTGGGTATTTTTTCAGTCCTGAAGGGGAGATTGTGTGTTTGAAAGACTGGCTACTTCTTTCAACAAGGCTATATATATCACTGCTGAAAAAGGCACACAACATCTTTGCTGTATACAGTGGTGGTTTCAATGACCTATCAGTCATAATTTTAACCACAGGAAAGATATTTCCTCATGCAATAATACTTCGTATGTGTCTGCGGTCACTGTGCACATGGCAGGTCAAGAGAAAATCTGTGCCTAACATCTTCAGTGAGTGGTCCCCATATTAAGCTGATACAAAAGGTTGTTGATCACAAGGAATTTAAATTATGCCATATCACAGTAAATCTAACCAAAATGCCTAAATCAAATTTCTTATATCCTTCCAAGCAGAGTGGATTTCTATACTAAATGATAGCAATTAATTTTGGTTCTTCCTGCTTTAAAATAAATGATTACATATGTTTACTCTCACTTTTAAAGATAGCACATCTTTTGACTGTTTTATAGGAGGTTCTTGAAACATATATTTCTAATGCTAAATTAAAACTATAACATTTTTCTGAAATTTTGTTTTGTTCCAAAGAACAATTGGGAAAATTAGCTTAATTCTAGATAATTCTCATAGAGATTACAGTAAGTGTTATATTCCAGTAAATTATATGTGCTGATACACTGGATTTCCTTTACAGATATTATTGTATTTAAATGGAGCAAGACACCAGGTCAATAAGTAACAGATGCCATGGAAGCACTTTTACTTTTCCTGAGTGTATCGTTACGACTATTTTTTATTTTCTGAAGCATTCAAAGTTCCACAATATTTCCTTCACAGTTTCTTTTCATCAGCACTTTAAAATGTATTATTTTGAGTTGGACTGACTGACACAAAAGTTAATACAGGCCATGATGAATATTGATAAATTCCAGTCACAGCACACTTTATCCTCCAAAGTTTCCTCTAAGCTGTACAGTCTTCAGTGCATTGCTTGGCAAAGATGACAGAAAAATTTGATGTGCCCTACTCCCAAGTTTAAAACTCAAACCCTTAAACTCCCAAGTTTATGATCACTACGGAAAGCACATTTTCCCTTCAAAATAATGTAAGATATTAAGCTGTGTCATTTTAATCACCTTAATTCTGGCATAGCTTCCTCTGACTTCTTTCCAGTTTCTATTCTTTAGCTTTGTGGATGACTGCCAATTATCGAATAACAGAGTGGCTCACTGGTGACAGCAATTGCAGGAAGAAAAGGTGTCTGTGAGTGGGTGTAAATACTCTCAGTACTATCACAACAGTATTATATGTGGGAATCCTTGTCTGCCACAGAAGTCTTAAGCAATTTTGGAACCACTGTCACCAAAGGTAGATAATCCCAAGAAAGACACTTGCATCTTTAATATGTTCCTCTTCTGTCTCCTGAAGGACTGTAGCACAATGCTGAACCCTCAAAGCCAAAGCAAAGCAATAAACTGAACTTCAACCTTTGGCTTTGAAGAATAGGCATGTGTTAAAAAATTGAGGAAATGATTCTTGAAAACACTGGTATTGTGCCTAAGGAGGTCCATGTCCTTTCACCTAAGAACCTCTGTTGGAAACCAGCAGCTCTAGTAATGTCTCTTGCTAGTACCTACATCCTCTTTGTATGGTGACAGGTGAGAAAAGAATCACTGTAAAACCTGAGACTTATATTAACAACTCTGGTTAACAAAATTATGCTGACTGTTCAGCTAAAGGCTGAAAAAATACTCCAGGAAAGAAAAAAAACCCAAAAAAATTATTTTAAAGGAAGTCCAAATAATGATGTTGGTTTCCCCAATCTGTGTATTTAAAGCAAAGAAATCCAAAGCAATATATTTCAAATGACAAAAAATATGACAAGAAAAAGTAATTGTATAAATCAATAGAAGTAACAGCAACACCCAAAGACATAAGAAAGGGTTTATTATTGTGTGGGAGACAAAATATTTCACAGGCCACAGTGAAGAGAAGGTCCTTTGTCAACAAACCTCAGGAAATAGGAATATTATACAAGTTGCAACAAGCAGAAAAAGGAAGATATGCAATGAAATGAAATGCCATAAAAAGGCTTCATCAGCTAAACTTCAAATGAAACTGAAAATGTCAGAACTAATAAAGAGGATCCACTTTGGTTGCTTGTTGAATATCTTAACCTGAGAGAAGGGCCTGGTGGCAGACGAACTGTTTTTCAGACATGGACAGCTGGGCTGCCAGATATAATCCATATTTCTGTGGTGTCATATGAACAGATGAGTAAATTCAGGCATGGTAAGGGCATCAATCACTTATTCTCATTTTAATGCACTTTGTAGATTAAATTGCAAACCAGATTGGTGGCTGCATTTTTAAATAGTCCTGTGATCATATTTTATGGGATATAAGGCAGCCCATTTGTAGAGTACGCCCTACACAAAGTAGGGTTTATCTCCCTTTCTCAGTTATATTATAACAAACTTTATAAACTTGGCCTTTTCTTAAAAGAAACCTAGACTGTGTGTTGCAAAAAAGGCTATAACCAATGTTGTTAACTCTTGGGCATGAGAGACCTATAGTGTGTCTCTCTGATACTTACAGTGCACAGTACACACAGAGTAGTAACAGTTGTTGGAATCCCACTGTTAAATCCATTAAAGGCAATTAGTGAGAGATATCTAATAATTTTAAAATATATAAACAAGACACTCTTTGCATGTTCACAGATATTTTTTGGATATTATAGAGAAATGAGGATACTCTCTGATGTAGTAATGAATGACAAGCTATTTTCATTTTTACTTTTGTACTACTCATACTATTGCCAAGGAAGGGGAGAGAAAAAGCCAAAGCATTTAGAAATGTGTCTGAGAACAGCACTTGGGACAATTA